TCCTATATTGAGACATAAGAATATAGATGAAGGTTGACAGAAACCAGGCGAACCAAATTTAAATGAGTGTTTTCCAAAATTAATTGAGGCAGCTACAAGCCACCCCCATCACAAATAGCTCCCCTTTCAAATCTTAAGCTCAGTTTGAGTTGACATACAAAACATAAGATGTTTTTTTATTCCATAAATCATGAGGCACAAGCAAGAATTTAACTTCAAGGTTAAATTAAGGAAGACAAGAAAGATCTAGAACCTGAAGGATGTACTGAAGTTCGTATTCTCTGAGTTTTGTAGAAGTTCCAAAATATCTGCAGAAAAACACATTGTTGGCTGTTGTTCTTCAAGCATAAAAGCTTCAACTTTGCATATTAGATAAACTACTCAAGTAAATAAAGTCAAGGCCTCACTCTCTTGTTTTCTCAGATAGACCAACAGCTGACAATTCTTTGATCCAATGGGGCAACAAGGTTTTTGGGGCCACAACCAATGCCCTTCTGATTAAACGAGAATGAAACAGTCCAGCTAGAAAGCCACAAATCTGCAAGAAGAATACAGTACTGGCAATCATGTACTATCACAAAATACAATTTCTCAAGGTTTTGCTACTCATCCTTACCTGCATTGTTTTCCCCAAACCCATGTCATCCCCCAATATTCCACCTTTCCCCAGACAATGCAAAGACCAGAGCCACTTCAATCCTTCTCGCTGATGCGGATATAACATTTTACCAATTTTACCCGGCAACTTATAAGTTGATTTTGGCCCAGTCAAAGTTATGGACCCATCATTCTCAGGCTCAAAATGATCCAACTCTTGAACAGAATCATCTGAATCATACTCAATACCGCCATTCTTATTACCCTCTGACAAGCTATCCTGTTGTGGAGAAAATGAAGATCCTGCACTCCCATACTCTAAAACCTCATTATCACCAGTTTCTTTCCCTCCAACCACACCCTCAACAGGCTTTGGCCCCGGCTTCCTCTCAACTGATAGCAACTCAAACTTAGAGTTCAGTTCATTCAAAATATCCCTAATTTCATTCTTTTCCACAGTCTCCTTAGTCTGGATAACATTTTTCGGCGCCGGAATGGGCGAATCAAGGTCGATGAGGTCATCAAACTGGGACTCGTCAACCGCCAAATTGTTGGCGGCATCTTCATACGCAACCTTGCAGAGGCGGCGTCGCCCTTGCACCTTCACCTTCGTCTTCTTTTCTTCCTCTGAAAATATATTATTACGATTACGGTGCTGATTACATATTCAAGTGAAGCAGGGAAGAGAACCCTAAACACTTACTAGGAGTAGAATCAACCGAAAACGGGGGAATATCTTGCGGTACAGCTTCTTCTTCTGCCTTGAATGGTTCGCGTTTCTCGTCCGAAATTTGCCCTAATAATCGACTATCGGAACTCAGATAAAGCATGTGAAACAGAGAGAAAGATTAAAATAGAATGGAAATACCGATTGGAGAATCGAAGTCAGTGATTGCAGAAAATTGGGGGATATTTTCTTCATGTTTTTTTGTTGTAGAGGCTTCGATAGATTCATCTGCGGAAAAGTAGAGTGTGGTTAAAAAGAAATTAAAATAGAAATGAAAAATGTGAAAGTGAAAGTACCTAAGGGTTGGGAAGAGGGTTTGGGAGGAGCAGAGAAATCTTGGAGGAAGCGATAGTGGCTATCGTTGAGGCTCATCGGTTTCTTTACGCTCTTGTTCGCCATTGTTCAGTTTCTGCAATGTCAATGTCACACTCAAAAATGGAATGGGGATGGGAATGGGACTCCAAAACATACATAACATTAAGCTTTTTTTTTACTATTCGATCATTCAACTCCTAACCTTCCCGCTATATTTGGTATATTTGAATATTTGAATATTTGAATTTAAGAAACGATGATTCAGGAGGTAATGGTAATAATTAACAAGCCTAATTATGTTTTTATACCGTAAACGTATTACCCTTTAAAATAATAGAGATGTAGTTTATTAGTATCATGTCTTTGTTATATTATTTTTTAATATTTTATTATTTAAATTTTTGTATTTATAAAAAAAATCTTTTTTCTTTAACTTCTATAATTTGACCTTTCAATTCTAATTTTTTCAAATTAAAATATTATAACTTTAACTCTTATTATTTAATTCTCCTTCTTTAATCGAAGTTTCTACCTACCTCACTTATAATATGAATAGTTACAATGATTTTAGTTAAACATTGAATTTTGACAAGTATTATATACAAGTTTTGTACAAATTTTGAATTCTATTTTTTTTTTATTTTTTTAAAGCATTTGATTGATATGAGGTAGATATATATTATATTTTTTTAGCATTGTACACATTGATTGAACTAATTATTGAAAGAATAATGTCTTTATGTTAAATGTTGCTTTATTGATTAGTTTATGGGATGAATAATATTTTGTATTTTTAAACAACAATCTTGTCTTATTTTTATATTAATTAAGTTTTTTCTTATTGTCTTTCATCTCTTTTAAGCAGTAAATATGCTAAGTCAAATGTCAATGATCACCACGAGTAAAGTAAGTTTTAATGTTGTGAATTTTTTTTTTCTTTAAGCTATGATGACTTCTTAAGTACAAAGATAAGGTTGTTGCCTTGTAATTTATAAATGTTCTATGCATTTAGGGGCAAAGTTGCATGCGGTTACCTTCTTGAGATCTTATTGTGAACTAGGTTGCTCTCTTTTTGTCATAACAACTTTCTTTTTAAATATTTACTTTTGCTTATCTTATTAGTCATTATGTTACTTCATAAGTTATATCATCTAAATCTTTATATTGATTTGTCTATTTTCTATTAGTTGCAAGTGTGTATGCCAAAAATAAAAAAAAAGGGAGGGGGGGGGTAAAGCCAGGGAAAAGAAGAAAAATAAGAGCAAATTAGTGTCTAAATCTCTTGCTAATAAAAATAAACAACAATGATTTTTGGAGCAAGAGCCAAGACAGCAAAGATACAAGAGTTGTGACACTAGAGGAGGGAGAAGAGAATAGAGATAAGATTCTAGATATTTATTTTTGTAAATATTTAAAATATGTTCAAAAATTTATTTACAAATATTAATTTAAATAATAAAATATTAAAAATTAAATGACATAGCAATAACGTATTAAACTTTTATTATCTAATTCATCACTTAACAAAGATGACTTGATATCAAACAATAAATTCTATTATTTTAAATAAATAATAAATTAAATCTTAAAACTTTTTTTAAAGACTTATCTTAAAGAGTAATACTTTTATATGAAAAAAAAATATAATTAAACTTAATTCATAGATACTAATCAAATTCCAGTTAAAAAATTATTTATACTTTATCTTTACAAAAAAAGGGAGTCATACAATAACAAAGGAACAAATAAATTTTTAATAATAACAAGGATGATTATTATTTGTCATACAAATTATAATTAAACATACTTAATATATAATTTGTAATATTACTTACAAAGGTAAGGTAGGAAACAAAAAGTAAGAAGAAGAGAGAAGGACACATGTTGTAAGAATATTGGTTTAAAAAATATTTATTACTTTTATTTCTTTAAAAATAAAATAAAAATGTTAATTTTATGAAACTAAAATCACACTCTTTTTCTAATAGAAAATATATGTAAAATAAGAATACAACGTTAAAGAAAGTATTTTCAACCTTCTGCAGTTTATGAACCCAAAAAAGAGATAGACATTCATACAATATTAGCAAAAAATTCATGCAATGATTTGTCTCTTTCAATGCTTGTTAAAATTTTACTTTCAAATCACAATTTGGAAAGTTAGTAACTTGAGAGGGAGAGAATGACTAATAAAGGAGAAAGAAAATATGTCTTGCAATGTTGTAATCTATCTTACATATTATAATTTGCGAGTCTATTTCATTGATACTTCTATCCAAACAAAATAAGGAGAAAGAAAATATGTTTTACAATGTTTTCTTTTATTTACATAAAAAATAAGAGAAATAAGTTGATTTCTAGTAGCAAATATTTAAAACGTTCTCTTCTTTAACTTTTTATTTAATTCAAATTTTATTTTATTTCTTAGATTATCAAAAAATCCTTTTAGGAGCGGCTTTAAGCATTTCGAATAAGACATCCATAGCATGCTTAGCCCACACTATTATAACTATTTGATCCATGCTGAGTTTAATCATTTAAGACAATAAAAACATGTATATCATCGAATCAAGTTGGATCTAGTTGTGACACAATCCACTTGTTCACATATACAAGGTTATAAAAATGTTGTTAATTAACTCATTTTCATCTTTATTCATTGCAATCGATGTTGAATCCCATTGAATAGAAAATAACATTAAAATGGATATCAACAAACTGTCACTGCAAAAGAGATATCAATGAATAACTACGTTTAAAAAACAGAGAAAGAACTACAAAATACAGAGCTAATGATCATATTCTTGTTAAATCTTCAGATTTCTATTTCTTTATACAATACAGTATCAACAGTATCCTAAAAGCTATAAAGAAAAAATAGGGTTACAACAAGAAGCAACTCGTATTGTCATTAAGCATGTGTAGAACACATATTCCTCCTATAAGGCCTATATATCCATGAGGTGCAAATGGCTGGTGAGAATTAGAGAATGGTTCAAGGATATGAAGCAAAGCCTTCATCAAGGTCATCACTATGTCACAGGGCAACCCAAACCAAAAGAGAACATCAACAAATGCGAAAATAAAATGTGCAATTAAGTGATTTTTTGGTAACAAAGTCTGGTTCTTAAATAATATGGATTTGACTCTTCTGACGTTGTTAAATAAATATTAAAAAGAAAAAGACATAACTTTTTATCAAATTTAACTATGCGAATTCTTATGATAGGTCATTATTTGATAAAAATTGTCTCTCTCTCCTTATTATAACCATATCATATTACTTAACAACATGAAATGATCCAAATTCAGTAAGAATTAAAGCCCATGAATGCCAAACTCCAATATAATCACATCATCATTAGGCCATAGATTTTGTCAATGCCATTTCACTCTCGTGAGAAGCAACAGATGATGCCCTATTCAACCCACCACCTTTTGCATGAGGTGGAACCTCCACATCTGCATTTACAGCACAATTTCCTGCACCTGCACCTGCACCTCCACCAATGCTAAATCTACATCCAAAACACCTAGAGAAGATTCTGTATATGAAGGTGAGCAACCAAAACACCCATGGTAGGCAAACCAATGTGACACCAAGTGTAGGTATCCAAGACGTGGTTTCTGATTCAGGAAGGACCATATATGCCACAAGGCATGCCCCTCCTGTCATTAAAGAGACGAACAAAAGACCAGCGATGATCCATATGAACGTGCGCCCAGAAGTAGGATCAGACACAGGCATTTGTGTAGAATAATGATCAAATATCTGAAGCCTGAATCAATATTTCGTCTTTTTCATCATCCATTTTAGGCAATAAGGGGTTAATGTTTGAGTGAAGGAATATTGGCTTGGTTTTAATATGGAGGTACCCAGTTTTAATTTTTTCGATGTAGTAGTTGCAATGAAGCCTGAAAATGGGAATTCTCAAATGGTAGGGATGTTCAAAAGTTTGTTTACCTAAAACATGGCTAATGATAGATTGAACAGAGACACCCACAACGACAAAGAAAGAGAGAGGAACGCGGGATCCATTTATGGTCATCCAAGTTGAGGTTTGAGTTGGTTTGATATTATGTGCTACTAATTCACATTGGAACCCCGTTGTTTATAGATAGCGTTGCCCATGCATGCAAACTACCCAAAATTGACCCCAATTTACATATTCATATAGAATCCCATTATATATAATACTTTTAAAATTAATATAGACCAGCGATAAACACCGAGTAAAAATCTAAATGATTGAAAAACATTTGGAGGCCCACGCCTTCAAAATATACACCAATCCGCAAATCAAGTAAGATTACGGAAAGTAAAGTTTACGTTGAACGAGAGAATTAAATTTTTTAAAAGTTTAAATTATATTATTTACATTTTTACTATTTTAAAATATTTTAATAGTATAATTGATTTTTTATTTCAAATATTTTATTTAGATATATTAATTCAATTACTTACATTCTTAAAAAAATTATTTTAATCCATAAAAATTGTGAATTATTTTAAATAAATGAATTAATTACTTGAAATATTTCATCCACACACACACACTAAAAGTATATATATTTCTATTTAATGATAAAAAAAAACCTTTATATCAATGTATAATTTTATTTCAAGCCTTGCAATTTGTGTAGCATTTATCAACCTGATAAAATCGTCAAATGAATGGGGGAAAAAACAAATTTAGTTTCTTTTCCTCTCCAATTCTTTTTCTATTATTCTATTCATCTATGAGACTATGATTTTGTATCCTTTACACCAGGAATAGATAATGTGGCACACTAAATATCAAAATTGATAGAATGGTAAAGTAACAAAGCTACACGAAAATTTATCCAGAGCTGACTTTTTCAGTCAAAGAAACTTCAGGCACCTCTTCTTCGGTATTTGCTCGAATGGCATTCATCATTTTGTACCTCCTCTGTTCTTGAGCTTTCCTCCGTTTGGCTTCAAGCACAATGAGCAGAGCAGTGATATCCGCGGGGCTCACCCCACCCACTCTGCTTGCCTGACCAATGGTTTGAGGCCTAACCTGAAATCATTGAAAGAATTTATTGTTGATAAGTCTAGGGAAATAGGTGGCATTATATAGTAGCTCCCGTAGCAGCTATTTTATTACACACAACACAACTACTTGGATTTTAGTTTAAAGATTGCTAATGAGTACCCTTAAAGCACTAGGCAACCAAAAAGGAATTAAAAGTATCAAAAGAAGACAATTTTTATATAAAAAACACAAGAATCATTTAATACTTAAAGTTTTTTTTTAAGTAATTGAAGGTATTTAATAAAGTATAATAATGTTCCTAAATTGTGTGAAAAAAGAAAAATGATTCTTAATCAGTATTGTTGAAGCACGTTAGCAAGAACAAAAATTTAATTTGACGGTGCAATCTTATTAGCTTCTCTGCCATAGATGCCGTTTTTTTTTTTTTTTTTTTTTTGGGGGTGGGGGGTGGGTGGGGGAGGTTGTCATATTTTATGAATTCAATGTCAATAGAATGTCGATTGACAAGTACTTAAACAATCCCTACTTTTAATGACCCCAATATATATTTTTGATAAACTTGTAAGTTACAAACCTTGGAAAGTTTTTCACGAGCTTCAAGAGACAAAGTTGTCATTGCATAGTAATCCAAGTCTTCGGGAAGTGGTCTATGTTGTTGAGTAACCACCTATGGATAATCCAGCACAACAATCAGATTTTTCATTAAATAGACGGCCAAAATTCTATAATGAATAAAAATTAAAATGATTCAGGACAGTAATCCTGACATGGAGCAAAGAAGCATTAACTTTTTCTCATCGACATGTATAACAGACAGATACCTGTTGAAGTTGGCTTTGCTGACGCAAGATGAAACCTTCATACTTTATATCAATCTCAACACATTCTTTCTCCATTCTTGATAAGTTTTTGTCACCAAAACCATGCTTATCAATAATTTTATATTGTATGTGTGGCTTCTTAAGAAGACTTTCTAATGTTGAAAAGTCCTTTACCGGCTGACCAGACAGATGACTAACTTCATCAGCTAAATCCCCTCCTGATGAGAAAATTGAGGAGCGAGCAATAATCCGTAAGAAATCAAATACAATTTCTACGTAATCTACAGCATAATATTTATTAGAAAGGAAGAGGACGATGTTGGAGGATAAGTGAAATAATGGACTCCTACTACATAGAAAAAGACAGACAGTTTTGCCAAGAGAATGGTTAATAGTAATCTCAATAAGTTAGATTTTATTTAACACTATCGTGGAATATCTACCAGACAATATTTAGCAGTAGCTTATATTATAATTCTTATGTAGCATGTTTTGTGACCGTTTAATGTGCAGAAGATTGTGAAAATTTAAAAGTTTCAAATTTTATGACACCCACTATCTGATGGATATGGCTACTACATTTTATTAGCTGCAAATTATAGGGAAAATGAAGGGGCTGGAGAGGAGCGAGGATAAGTTAAAATTACAGTACAAACAACCAGGCTCTTGTGCCAGTTGTTTAAAAATGTTTTTAAAACAATTGGATTTAACAACAAAAGCAAGGCCAACAATTAAATTTTACTCGAGAAGCATCAACATATAAATTATTTTGTTATTATGTGCAAATATTATCCTCTTCTTTTACCAAAAGGATAAAACATAAACTTTCTTTCAATCCTCTTTAAAGAAACAGAAAGTATGACTTGCCACAGAGCAAAGTAGAGAAACAAACCTGAAATCCTGACACTTTTCAGTCGCTTCTTTTCTTCAGATATTCGCCCTTGTTTATCCTGGTACATTTTCCATCGTCTATCATCTATCAACCCAATTTCACGACCCAAAGGGGTGAGACGGCTGTCAGCATTATCAGATCTCAAGAGTAACCGATGCTCTGAGCGGCTAACAAGAGGAAGACAAACTTTTTTCAATTAAAATTGTCAAGAAATGAGAAATAGAATGAAGCAGAATATATTCATCTAGGAACATAAATGTTCTAATCTTGGTTAGCTTACCTGGTTAACACGCGGTAAGGCTCTCGCAGGTCCTTGGTAACCAGATCATCAATTAATGTTCCTATATAACTGCTCTCTCTCTCGAGAACAATGAGTGGCTTACCATCTGCATGTCTAGCAGCATTGATACCAGAAAGAATGCCCTAAAGGATAGAAAATAGTAAACAGTGAGGAGAAAGCTTGCTAGATTAGCAGGAAGCCAAAATAGACAAGAGTCAATTCCCAGTGATACAACTCACAACACACATGCAAAAAAAGCATTAGATTGAAAAGCACAAATAAACTTTAAAAGAATACCTGTGCTGCAGCTTCTTCATAGCCTGTAGTTCCATTTATCTGACCAGAGAAGAACAATCCTTGTATTTTCTTTGTCATAAGAGATCTAGCACATTGATGTGCAGGTAAATAATCATACTCCACGGCATATGCAGGCCTCAACATTGAACAGTTCTCAAGTCCAGGCAAAGTTCTCAGCAAAGGTAACTGTAGCCTCTCTGGCAAACCTGTTGAGAATCCCTATAATATTGAAAGGGTTAACCCTATGGATTCAATCTTTTGTAAATGGAATTCTATGATTCAGATCACTTCTAATTTCCTCAAATCCTCTCAAGATAAAAAGGTATATAAGGCATGAAACCCTCACACACAAGCACCGGCGCAAACCTTTTTCCCCAATTGGAGAACAGCAACAAAAGAGAGATTGACATGCTGTGTTGCATGTTTCTAGTTCTTAGTTTTACTCTTTTTTCCTTTTATTTTTGGTCTTAATTTCTTTAGCTTTACAGGATTCTGATCCTCTTGCATTTGTAACTTTCTCTTCTATCTCAATGAATTCTCTGTTTACCAAAAAAGAAAGACACAACAAAATTTGGATCTAACTCATACTTCAGGTTTAAGAATGCTTACACAGTTCTAAACCTCAAGCATCACTATCTCTTAATAGGTACCTATATTTGTTATGATCAATTTTGTGATTGATTATTGTTTTTTTCCCAAAACTACATTAGCTTAATTTATTTTATGAATCTTCCTCAAATTATTATATGCACCAAAAAAAATGTCAAGTTTCATTCAGATTACTTGGAAGGGGAAAAAAGAACATATAACTTACCTGCACATACAGCTCAGGTACATTTCGACCCTCAGGTTCAAGAAATACTTGATGAGACTCTTTATCTTGGAATCTTACAATCTAAAAGTGATCAATATACCACATCAGAAAATAATTCAAATGATTTTAGATATATTTTATTTGATGCTTCAAACCCTTTATTTCTAAATGGTTCCAAGTTCAAGCTGAGTATGGAATGAATTGATAACTATAGTTAATTCTGAAAATATTAAACTGATATTAACAAAACCAGGATAACTTTTTTTCCTTTTTTGAAACACACCTTATCTTCTATTGAAGGGCAGTATCTAGGTCCTTTGGCCTCAACCCAACCTCCATAAGTGGGAGTTTCGTGTAAGTTCTCTCGTATTATCTGGTGAGTAGTACTTGTAGTACGGGTTAGGTAGCAGCACATCTGTTCTCTTTCAATATGGACATCAGGATCAAAACTAAACCACCCAACCTGCCAATTATGATGATATACTGAGGAAACACCATCTTTATATTAGAGTAAATGCTTTTATTTACAAACCACAACCAACGTAACATTATCAATCAGCACTGGAGGAAAACCAAAAATATTTTTTATTTGTCATGTAATAATTAGATTGAACTATCAGAGCTAA